TTTCTGAATACCAGAGTAAGGATTCGTGAAGGTTATCTTGAACATTGATGGTTCAAAAAGCCTGCCTCGTCTAATGTCATACTACACTTGCGAAGCGCACACTCGATCTATGTGAAGGCCAACGTGTACGAAACATCTTAAGAACAGAGAAGAAATTATGCTCGTCCCCGGATTTCCAAGTGGACAACCACATCAACGCTATTTTCGAAGATAACGATTATAGTTTGCTCGACGTAGTAAATACCTGGAGGTCAAGTTCGGATGGCGTTTCACTGGCAGTACCATACGTTGGAGATAAGCCTGCACGAATGTTAAACAAAGTAGTACAGAAGTCTGGATTGCCAGTCAGGTTAATATATCTATCACCACCGTCGTTGACAGAAATTCTAACATGCACACGAGTTCATGAGAGGAAGTGCGTGTACAACCACTCAGACAATCGCCGGGGGCAGGCGGGCGCCGGAAAATACGCGTTGCTGAAATTTCGCATTCCGCTCGCAAATTCTAGGAAAATGGTCAGCGAGTTTTTGAGAGACCGCCTGTTATTTATTTTTTCGCTCTTATCTTTTGCAGATATATTGCTGAATCTCTGAGGAATCGAGAACTCAGCAAGGGGCAATCAGCCATCTATTTTTCCGGTGCGCGCCTGCCCCCGTAGATTGTCTGAGCAATGTTCGTACTGCGCGGAGAAACCCATTTGTCATTTACGTTATACTGTGTACATGATTACGTGTGAAGGATGTGGAAACCAATATATTGGCGAAACCAAGAGGCCATTGCGACTTCGTCTCAACGAACACAGAAGAGCATTTATTCAGCCTGCTTCTTATACTAAAGAAAGCTTCTCTACACAGGACTTCGAAGCACACCATGGAAGCAGTCCCAAACTTCAAGATTACAGCCTTACATCGCAATAAAGTGAACACTCTGGAAAGAAAGATTAGCCAAAATAAATCAACAAGCCCATAAATGGAAAATACATTTCATTCACTACTAACAGCACTGTACCACGCGGACGTCGTCTCCTGCAACTTAGCGAGCTTTATCCTCTCCCCTTACCTCCTCCCTCATAAGGTGCGCTCTGTTTGCGTTTCTCTCTTCTCAGCGCACATATTGTAACTTAAGGTCTGATGATGGTATTATAAGAAACCGAAACGTCACCAATAAAGATACAAAAAGCTTTTCATCGACAATTCACTATCCAGAGTACTTATTGTTCACGTAGGATGCTGGCTTGAAGTCAGTCAGGAGTGGTGTGAATGCTGGCGCACAAGTCCCGCTTTAAACTAAAATTTTGCGATAGAATAGTTAGAGCTTTCACCGATTTACAAGGGAACATCGATTCAGTAAAGGAAAGAAAATGCGGGTCCTAGACTTGCTTAGTCATCGTAAGCATGCATCAAATGTAAAAATCGAACGCATTCAAAAGTTGAAGGTGAGGTGTTGGTTAATACAAAGCTTTTCAAACGCTTGACATTAGGAATTAAGTAGCCTGCAGAAGCTTGCTTGTTGAAAAAGGTTTTACAAGGGTTTTCGTGCATACACAAGCTACAAAGAAAAAAATACCATCTAAAACTTGATGGTCAACCCGCTTTACTTGTTTTTTATGAGCATTGAAAAAGTTGTTTTCTTTCATTTCTTTCATCTCGCGATAAACTTATGGAATGTACGCGCTTTTTTGACAATAGTCCGCGCGGAAGGACAGTTTGCATTAAGTCATGAGCCGCTTTTCGAAGCCATTTGTTACTATTGATACGAGTATAAAATGGTAATGCAAAAGCTGAAAAGTACTCACATTCATACCTGTGGCACTGTTGAATGTACCTGATCCTTTTGGCACTTTCTATGCCACTGCACGTTATTGATACTAAACTGGAATAGTAAAGTGAACCACGCGTAACAAGACAAATGAACAAATCTAAGCGTGAGTGTTTGGAGCAAGCGTATAAAAAGATGGAGTAAGCGTGAATAAATGAATGAAACCAGCGTAGCTTTGGCTAGCCTAGTTTTGACACGTGCTAACGGGTGAAATATTGGCTTGGTAGCAATTTTGAACATCATTGATTTCCCCGCTTCAACTGCGGACTGATCGGCCGGTAAGCGTGTCGCTCGGCCGGTGGTCGTAAGCACTCGCCCGGCATCTTTTGATCGTACATTGGCGGTCGGTTAATTGACGGCCGCCCGACCGGTGCTCTCTGATTGTGGAGCTTGCCCGGCCAATGAGGTCGCTCGGCCGGAGAATGCAGCCGCGCGGTTGGGAGCCTCTACAATACCGCTCACAGAATGTGCAAAATTTCCGTGAATGTCGCAGAATTCCAGGAATTTCGCGAAGGTTCGCGGAATTTCGGGAATTTCGCGACATTCCTGGAATTCCGCGAAATTCCGGAAATTTCGCGAAATTCATGTGAATCACGAAAATTACGCAGAGTCATAACTTCTTTCCGAATGAGTATATTCGAAATCCGAAAACAGCATTGTATTCAGCTCGTCGAGGCGAATCTTTTGGTGCACAGGTTGTGTCCAATACCTTGTTTTCGATAATCTTGAATTTGCACGCGGACGCCTCTTCGCATGGTGGTAACGCAACGAGCATCACACATAGGAGACTGCCATGAGCACCGTTCGATGGTATTCTTTCAATAGATTATCGTGCGCTAAACAGCAGCGGAAGACTCTCTTTCGAGAGAGATAGAAGAGCTGATAAACTCTGGAAAAATCAAGCTGTTCCAAGTTCTACTAGCCGTAACTTCCTTCAGAATGAACATCTTCGAAATCCGAAAGCGCATTGTATTCAGCTCTTCAAGGCGAATCTTTCGGTACACTGCGTGTCCTTGAAATTCCGTTCCAATTTTTTCAAAATTTTCTGCGCTCGTATATTCATAAGGTCGCACCGCAGCGCAAATCAAACATGAAAGACTCCAATAAGCACTGTTGGATTGTGCTGCTTTCGCAGATTTTCGAGCGCTAGAAGGCAATCGGAGAATATTTTTGAAAAAAAAAATAGAATAGCTGGTGAATTCTGGAAAAATCGCGTTGTCTCAAATTTAGCCCATCGTGACCCTAAAATGAGAAGCTCTACTGCTAAGCAGATGTGTTTTTCGTAATCAGCAGGTCAGACAACTTCTATGAGCAAGTTTTCAAAGAAATTCGGGTGATTTGATTTTTCTCGTGCTACGCCCTGAAGCTCGCCGATGGGTTTTGGTCAAAAATGTCAATGATCTCGGATTGTAAGGAAACTTCGCTCAGAGAGGTTTTCGAACACGCTGTTTACGATAATCGTCTTTTGCGCGGAGTACAGAGTTTTCTAGCAGAGTATGGTGAGGGAACTTTAGCTACGCTTTCTAGTGAATTGAACATACAGAGGCAAGCAAGCAGATTTCCTTGCTCGAAAATAGCAGGCGAATCTACGAACTTTCGTGGCTTAGCTAAAGTTTCCTCACCATACTCTGCTAGAAAACTCTGTACTCCGCGCAAAAAACGATTATCGTAAACAGCGTGTTCGAAAACCTCTCTGAGCGAAGTTTCCTTGCAATCCGAGATCATCGACATTTTGACCAAAACCCATCGGCGAGCTTCAGGGCGTAGAACGAGAAAAAATCAAATCACCCGAATTTCTTTGAAAACTTGCTCATAGAAGTTATCTGACCTGCTGATTACGAAAAACACATCTGCTTAGCAGTAGAGCTTCTCATTTTAGGGTCACGATGGGCTAAATTTGAGACAACGCGATTTTTCCAAAATTCACCAGCTATTCTATCTTTTTTTTCAAAAAAATTCTCCGATTGCCTTCTAGCGCTCGAAAATCTGCGAAAGCAGCACAATCCAACAGTGCTTATTGGAGTCTTTCATGTTTGATTTGCGCTGCGGTGCGACCTTATGAATATACGAGCGCAGAAAATTTTGAAAAAATTGGAACGGAATTTCAAGACACGCAGTGTACCGAAAGATTCGCCTTGAAGAGCTGAATACAATGCGTTTTCGGATTTCGAAGATGTTCATTCTGAAGGAAGTTACGGCTAGTAGAACTTGGAACAGCTTGATTTTTCCAGAGTTTATCAGCTCTTCTATCTCTTTCGAAAGAGAGTCTTCCGCTGCTGTTTAGCGCACGATAATCTATTGAAAGAATACCATCGAACGGTGCTCATGGCAGTCTCCTATGTGTGATGCTCGTTGCGTTACCACCATGCAAAGAGGCGTCCGCGTGCAAATTCAAGATTATTGAAAACAAGGTATTGGACACAACCTGTACATCAAAAGATTCGCCTCGACGAGCTGAATACAATGCTGTTTTCGGATTTCGAATATACTCATTCGGAAAGAAGTTATGGCCCTGCGTAATTCGCGTATTCACATGAATTTCGCGAAATTTCCGGAATTTCGCGGAATTCCAGGAATGTCGCGAAAATCCCGAAATTTAGCGAACCTTCGCGGAATTCCTGGAATTCTGCGACATTCACGGGAATTTTGCACATTCTGTAAGCGGTATTGTAATTGGTGCGCCGCTCGCCCGGTATTTTTGCCTGAGGTGTTGCAAGGATTTCATAATTATTGGAAAGAAGATGAAATGCTGCATCGAAAGTTCAAGATCTTCTATAAATTTTCTTTCCACAACATGTGGCGCAAGCGAAATCTCGGACGACCTAACATTACAATTGCGTTATTCAGTGCGGATACTCTAATAACCATGAGCACAGATAAATGAAGAGTACAGTAAGTCGCGACAACTGCAGCGACACCGCCGCTGTCTCGCCAAACAGGATGCCATCTCTCTCTTGAATCTCAATTATTGTATATTTATTAGGTACATGATTTATTACAAAATTTCTACTTTAACTACTTTTTACCATCAAACGCTATAAAACCTATGAGTGTGGGAATGTTTTACTGACTGCCGCCAAAATATCGTTGCGTGAGCACTCTATGTGCTAAAGACAGCCTTATCAAACTTGACTGTACTTCTACATTTTGACGTCATTTGTTATGAAGAGCCAAGAACTGACCAGTGAGAGCTGTAATGAGTTTTCTGCCAATATGGCTTGAACCATTCACTGTTGCGATTGAGCAGCCAGAAGAAGATGAATTGGATCTTCTAAAGTCATAGACCGAAGAATTCTGTGCGTTGAGTGTTATGATCCATATAAATGCTCCCAAAGCAAGGCAGGCATAAATAAATATTTGTTTAATTGTCATGCCTGAAACCAAAGAAAGTTTATCTGTTTAAGAGGTTTGAGCAAAGGGAAATGGTAGCTCAAAGAGTTAGAAAATGAATGAGCCTTGGGAAAGGCTGGAAATTTTGCAAAAAATTCTGGGTATATAAAACTGACGATACATTTAAGTTTGCACGAAGGTCCCTCTGTTGGCTAACGGCTAAAGTACCCTCTTTTTGGCCGCGCGCGATTTCGCGGTCCGAAACGTGTTAATAACTATTTAAGAAAAGCCGCAGCTTTTTGATTACTCTACCATGTAAAATTTTCGAAAATTCCAAAAGCTAATTTTCCAAAGCAAATCAAGCTTGGTTATGTTGCATAAATTTCAGAATATGAAGCTTTCTTTCTAGGCTTCGATCCCCTCCCTAACGGGGATGTTAATGCATGCGTCCCATAGTCCAAAAAATAAGGCTTGGTTGGAAATAGAGGATAGGAAGAGAGCGAGAGAGGGGAGCAGGACCCGACACAGATTGTCTGGAAGCAGGCTGGACTTCGTTTTTGGAGCAAGAAGCAAAGGGGATATTGTTTTGCAGAGTCGGAGCCGAGCACCAAAGATATGCGCCATTTAGACAAACGCAAGCTTTTCGGACAGATTTTCATACAATTGGCATGCTCTATCGTGTATGGCGAAAAGTACGCGCGATTTGAAAAGGAAAATAAAGAAATTGCTTGTTTACAGCTCACACAGAATCATATGGCACCAAAATCGAGTAGTATACACAGAAAATTATTTGCGAAAGAATTATGTAAAAATATTTGAAAACTTATGTGAAGTAATGTCTTTTCCAAAATTAGTCCGTTTCCAGAAGGGCATCAGACGATCTAAGATTGTCTGGAGCATATACTTCCGTCACTTCACTTAAGTTTTGAATTTCTTTAGCATGGACGGGTGCCCCAGACGAGAATCTATCCCTGAGCATAAAAACAGTTCATATCACCCACTCTCTGTCGTTTTTAACCTCTTTTTTTCGGAAATCGCCTGGTTAGATTTCGCGTTCCAGCTCAACTTTTTTGCATCCTCTCTCCTTGAATTTTCATTTTCAGTTCCAGCTTTCTTTCAATATTTTAATAATTTCTTTCATTATTCTTTCTTCTTCTTCTTCTTTCTGCTAACTTGAACTTTTCGATGATGTGTAGGGCTTTATGAAGCTAAATTATGTGATTTTGTGATTTTCCTTTGAGAGTTTGACCTGAATCACGAAATCTTCAGCTCGCAGAGGTAAATTGTTTTTTCAAGGACTAAGGGCCGCATGCACTAACAACCCCGCTGGGGAGGGGATCGCAGCTAGGAAGAAAGCTCCATATTCTGAAGCTTCAGATATTTAGATTTCACGCTGTCCACCTGTCCGCAAGTATTCCTACTATCCTTCACTATGAACATATTGAACAGGAGCGAGAAGGTGTACAAGCCGCATTTTCCAGCTTTTTTATGATCCCTGATGATCCCCGGCGCTTTTCTTCAAAGTCATTTTTCTTTCTTTGAAGTCAATGAAAACCTTCCAAAGTTGTACTAATTATCTAACCCAACAGTGCTAAGCATGCTACTGATGAGAACAAGTGAGTTTTTGAAAAATCGAATTTTTCGATGAACCACAATTTTCGACTTGTGGTTCATCGCAAATTTCATGACTCCGATACAACACTTGTTCTTATCAGCAACATGCTAAACAGTGTTGGGTTAGATAATCTGCACAACTTTGCAAACTTTTCGTTAACTTCGGTTAAAGAGAAATGACTTTAAAGAAAAGCGCCGGGGATCATCAAGGATCGTACAAAAGCTGGAAAATGCGGTTCGTACAGCTTCTCGCTCCTCTTCAAAATGTTTTTAGTAAAGGGTAGTAGGAATACGGATAGGTACACAACGTGAAATCCAGGTATCTGGAGTTTCGAAATATAAAGCTTTCTTTTAAGCTGCGATCCCCTCTCCGGCGGGGAGGTTAGTGCATGCGGCCCTAAGTGAGTATGCGGGGATCCACCAACAGCCGGAGGGCGGGGGGGGGATAGAGCAAGGACCAAAGAGGACTTCGTAAAATTTTCGAAAGCCACGGCAGACTTTGTTGTAAGAAAGCCTAGAAACGAACTCGTGCCGGGCCCTGGAGGGGAGTGAAAGTTGGAAAGGGGGGGGGGAGACAGCGGAGTGGAGTGAGAGGGTCTAAAAATGTAGCGTCAGGCGGGACTTCGTAAAATTTTGGAAATTTAAAGGGGAACTTCAAAAGCTGTTTGCTTCTCAACCTCTCTGTTTCCGACTTTATCTAGTCTCTAATATATGCTTTCGTTTCCGAATTTTTTGTTCAGACCGGAGTTTCAAGCTTCAAAGAAAGTGACCAAAACATAAAATCCTTTCCTTTCACTTTTCTTGCTCTACATGAAATTGTCGAATTTTCTTCAAAAAATATGCGTAAAGGCTAATGCACGACGAAGGCGCAAAAGCAGTATTAGTTGAGAGTGAACGAACGCGTGCGTATCCTCACTGTGGTAAATCCTGCGCCTCATGCACTCTGCTGCTAATAAAGCAACGTTCGCGCCCGAAGATATTGCCCCTTCGTCATGCAGCAGCTTATAACTGCGAAGTCTTATGTTACAAAAAGGTTACTAATGTCAATTGAAAAATCCTGAGAGAACAGAAATCATGGCTCAAACTTGAGATTGGCTTAGGCCATCTATGCTGCATGAAAATTTCTAATCAAAGAAGGATTGTACAGCTTTTGATGCACACCTAGAGTTGACCTAGTACAGCCAATGGCAGAAAAACTGCAGCATTTGCTCTCTTTCAAAGAGAAAAAAAATAGAAATCCTAAGAGGCAGTATTTCAGATTTTCCAAAATGCTGAATAAGTTGATACCTTCAATTTTTTTGCAAGACTCTCTAACAAAAGAATGCCGTAAAATCCAAACTCCATTCCATTGCACACTTGACCATCGTATATAATGAGCAAAGTTCGCGCAATCCTAGTAGATTTGAGAGCGAGTCATTAGGTTGTTAACTAAGGCCCGTATGCACGTACATCCCCGCGGGGAGGGGAGGGGATCTGAGAGGAGAAGCGTCATATCTCGCTAGTCCATATATCTTTCTTCTTCTTTCTCTATCTTGCTTTTGAAGGTTCTCATGCGCTGATACTTGCGCATAATGGATGCCAGGTTACTGCCATACAAGATTAGATATTCATTATTTTGTGTGATCCCCTGGGGATCCCCAGGGGATCACCTCACATTTTCAAAGTCATTTATCTTCCTAGAAACTCAGTGAAAATGCTCTAAATTGTACTGAGGATATACTACAGCACTGCTAAACATGCTTATGGTAGAAATGAGTGAAATCTCAAGATATCAAAATTTTCGATGAACCGCTGCTCGCGAGCCAGGGATTATCGAAAAAATCAAAATCTTCAGATTCCATTTCTTTTGTCGAAAACATGCCCAGCAGTATCGTAGTAAATCTTCAGTACAATTTTGCAGCGTTTTCATTGATTTTTCAGGAAAATTAATGACATTGAAAATGTGAGTTGATCCCCTGGGGATCCCCAAGGGGATCAGAAGATATAGTGAATATCTAATCTTGTATGGCAGTAACCTAGCATCCGTTATGCGCAGGTATCAGTGTATGAGAACCTTCATAAGCAAGATAGAGAAAGAAGGAGAAAGATATGTAGACTAGCGAGATATGACGTTTCCCCTCTCAGATCTCCTCCCCTTCTCGCGGGGATGTACGGGCATACGGGCCTAAGTTTTGCAATTACCCTAAAATCCCGCCAATAAGTCCGGCCTTATCTGCATTTTTTGACACGAAAAATTGATAAAAAATCGCCCTCTGCGCTGCCAGAAGTCTAGCAGATCTGCTGCGGTCTGATGGGAGGATTCATCTGCACTTCTGGCAGCGCAGAGGGCGATTTTTTTTATCAATTTTTCGTGTCAAAAAATGCAATAAAGGCCGGACTTATTGGCGGGATTTTAGGGTAGTATTATGTTGTCCCATGATTATTTACCGTTTTTACTTCGACGGTCGTCTTTTTGTATCTTTCCTCCAATTGATGCGGCTTGAGTAACCATTCGATAGGGCAAAGCAAGCTCTACAAGATGGCTATCGAAAGTCTGCGCAAATCGTAATCCACGTAAAGTTTTGAGCTGAAATATGGTAGCAGTCGAAAACGAACTTTTTTGTCAAAAAATGTATCTCCGCCCCAAAGTAATTAAATTCCAATTTATTTCGGCACATGACTGACACGTCGCACATCCGAGTGCATGCTTTTCGAATTTTTTTCCATGGCTGGAAATAAAGAAAAAAAATGAATGAGGTAAAATGGCAAACTCCGCCTCTAAAACTCTTGAGCTCTTCCCACACACGTGATCATATGGTTCATACATACAGAAGTACGATCATGTAACTGTAAATTTTGAAGGTGCCCCAGTTTTCGAGAAATGCTCATGTTCAAGGTAAAAACGGTAAATAATTATAGGACACCCTAATACTTTTATAATTTTTCTCTCTTTGCGAAAGACGCACTTAAACTTTCCCGTCATGTAGGTTGTGACGTCAAGCGCAGCCACAATTGTGCAAAATCTGATTTCGCAGTGAGAGTTACGGTAGGTTTATGGTATAAAGGGAAAAATTCTAGGTTAATACAAACTTGGCTGAAACTTTGTTTAGATGGGTTATGTAACATGCTGATCACGAAAACAGTATTGGTTTTACATGGTAGGGGCTTTTTGTAAGGTTACAGTAGGTTCACGGTGTGGGTTCTCAGGCTAAACAAGAGAAGAGGCGAAAATTTGATGAATGAATATGATATTTGTATTTGGCAGGCAAATAACCCAACCATGCAAAGTTTTGACGAAATTTGAGACTTCGACTCCTTAGTGACAAGCGCTTGTCCCCAAGCAGCTATAGCGGCTCCTTCAACTTTACGAAAATGCCGAATCTTGAGTTGTCTTCAAATTCCATTTCTTCCTTACTGCGCTAGATAAGTCGAGCTTTAGCAATATTGTAACCTTCTAATCATTTGGCTTGGCT